AAAATATAAAGACAAATGGCAGAAGCATTAGGTATTTATTGCTACATTTATTTCTTTAGATCGCTATTCCAGTCGAGACCAATAAAAACTTTTGTAAGCACCTTTACGATTGCTACCGCGTAAATTTATGACGGTGTGTGGTAAATGTCTAGACTAGCTGAAGTAAGAACTGTAATACTCGTTTAAGAAATGCGTACCTATATCAAACTGAAAATTCCCATTAATGTCAACACCAGCTGGTGGGCGTAGATCCTTCTGGAAAGTGGTATAAAATTGCTTTAAAAGAATTATTTGAGAGAATATCCTGAATCTTTTCCTTTTTTGCAGAACCACATGAACTTAAAATGAAAGATTAATAGGTACCCATTGTCGGTTCTGTGTTCAAGATACTGTGGGGGAATATTATCCAGGGATAGTAAACGATCTAATGAATAGTTAACATTTGGCAGAACAACATCTGTTGGGTTTCGGGTCTGCTTGCCTTTTCCAGGCTTTTCGGTGGTCTATTTCCACTAAACCACTGCCACCAAGCCATAACAACAATTCCTAAATGAGACTGAACAAGCACTTCTCCTGGACTAATCACTTTGCGCCACAGTTTAGGTTGAGGGAGTTGCCTCGCTCATCATCAGTAGCACCTCATATTATTTTGAGGTTGTATGTAGTGGGTAAAATTACCCTACTGTAATATATTTAAATCTTCAGATTTCCCAAAACTATGATAACTAAAAGCTTTCCACATTAGTAGTAATCGGATCTACTAGTAGACCTACTTCTGCCACTACTTACTCATGTCTCTACTTCCATTATGTATCCAACTAGCCCTACGATAGATCATCTGCCTATAGTAGCGCACCTCAGAAGTTTTCCAACATTTTATTTTCCTTTGCACTCGCTCTTAGTGATGCAACGGAAGTGTCGTAACGTAAACAGAAGCGGAAACGGAAATGTAATGATTTTTGCGAATATTTTGTTACAGATTTTACATTTGATACATTTCGAAATTTGTCCTTCGCGAACACAGTTAAAAGTGACTCGACCTGGGCGCTATTCTTTGTTGTATGTCTTTAATACAAAATAAAAGAAAAAATGAGACATTCTATCCTTAAAGCGGCAGTAATAAGGAACTAAAAATGCGTTAAGAGGTTGGAGAACACTAGCATGGGAATGAGCTAATGACTGCTTTGCTATACTAACGATACGTAAAGAAAATGTAAAGTTATCGTCACTAAACTATGCTAAAATATTCAGCAAAGCACACTGTTTATAATCGGGTCGGGGGAGGGGTGTCATTAGTGTAAAACAGATCTAATTATTATACAGGATGGCGCAATTAAAACATTCCACCTGGAACTTAAAATAGCCAGTGATAAACTTTTATATTTAAGCAGGTAGTTGTTCCAATTGTAAATTGTTGTTATCCATCACTTTCTTGTTGCCATTTTCACTCTACAATTTTTAAGTGTTAGCGCATTTTATTAGTGTTTTGTTATCAGATTACTGATATGCAAGGGAAGAAGAAGTAGAGAAGAAGTAGACTGAGAGCGCGGCGGAAAAGAAAAGGTTAGAAGTGTTCGAAATATGGTATTACAGGAGAATAATTAGGATACCGTGGATAGAGAAGGTTAAAGAATGAAGAGGTATTAAAAATGACAAGACAGATGACTCTATGACCTCTCAATGACCCTAAATATTGAATATTAAAGCATTTGTCTTACGACCATAATAACTAGAGAAAGGAGTAGAAAGTATATTACTTCGTCGCGTATGTTCTGAGTTTTATGTGGTGTTACTGGCGAATGATGAGGATACCGTGGACAGAGGAGGTTAGAAATGAAGAGGTATTAGAAAGAATGGAAGAAGAGGGGACTCAATGGAAGTCAAGAAGAAATAGGCGAGATAGGTTGGTAGAACACCTTCTCAGGCATGAAGGGCTAGTTAGAGACAAACGCAGAGAAAGGAGCTAAGAGAAGTAGACGTAAACCTAGACTAGATTACTGTCACAAATAGTTAAGGATGTGGAATGTTCTAGTTATCAGGCTATCAATAATATAAACAAACATATGCTACAATCTTGAGCAGAGCCGGGCAAACTCGGATCTTTTGCATCCCGAGTGATCCTCAAGGTTAACCAAGTAGCTCCTCATTGATCCTGCGAGTGCGAGTGAGATGATTCTTTCCTTTTCTTATCCTTTCCATTTCGTAGATGAGTCCCCTCTTCCATAGCCAAACCCAATAGTTTTGCGAACGTAGTAACGAAAATTTTCGTAGGTATTATTTAAGTTGCGAGAGTGGCTTCGCTCGTCTACGGGATGAAGGGGCTTGATATGGGAGTGGAAGGGAGAAGAAAAAGACAAAACAAAATTATTCATTACTGCTTACTCTCTCGTACTCATTGAAGGGTATGGAGTGACTCAAACTAACCTCATGTAGCGGCTCCTGCGAATTTAAAGTTTGCCCGGCTCTGATCTTGAGTGTTTCATAGAACGACCGAGTAACTGCTTCAACTGAAATATAAAACAGGCGGTACTTTTAAAGCTCTGATATCTGGGAATATTTCTCAGAACGATATATTTTCAAATTGGCTTTTCATAAAACCCATGCAACTTGGTAATGTTTGGTAGATTTCCTGGAAAAGTACAATGCTATATGTATATACATGTATATTTTTTAATTACGACGGAATGATGTGCGATATGGTTATCTTTACTCGGTGCATAGTCGGAATCGTCAGGATTTTGCCTTTGTTTAATATTTCATCAGCGCGCGCGTCAGAAGTGAACCAGTAAGAATTTAAGAGTCGAAAGTGCTACGTCTAGAGAACTGGGTCACCTTTGTCGGCACGGCGGTGTAGCGAGATGGGGAGTTTTACACTTTTAATCAAGACACTGCAAAGTTCCGTACAGTTACGTCGACTCAGCCGAAAGTTTTGACGAGGGAAACTATCGCATTATAAACCGTGCCAGACTTCGGCATCCGTTTTTGTTGATTGACTTTAATCGATATCCAATTACTAAGCCTTAATTTTAATGAAAAGCTGTAATTGGATTTACGCATAGCAAGCTGCATGATTAAACACGAAATATTAACGATCAAGGTTCATCCGATTATAAAACAGGCATAAATTAAAAGACTAAAGGCGGCAAAAGAACAGTAGAATTTGTTAATTAATACTGGACTTAAAGAGAACCGGTCAACTGATGCGGTTCTGATTCGGGTCTAAAGGCCGTTGTGTTCTTCCATCTCCAATGCTGAATGCGGACTGTCCACGAATCGAGTCTCCAAGACTTGTACCGAAGAAAGCTGCAAACAAAACCTTCACGTTCAACTTAACTTGAGCTTTGGTTTCCACGACATAACCATAAACCCATGCTTTGTCACCAGTTATGACCCTCTGGAGAAAATTTGGGCCATCGCGGACAGAGTCCAACAGCTCCTTAGAAATGTTAATGCGATGCTGTTTTTGGTCGAAATCGAGCAATTTTGGTACGAATTTCGCGACGACCCGTCTCATGCCCAAATCATTGTTAAAAATCGAATGGCAGAAGCCAATGGATATGTCTAGCTCCTCAGCAACTTTCTCTAAAGGTGATTTGACGATTGTCCAATACTATTTTCTTCACTTCATCAAAGCTTTCGTCTATTGTTGACATGATCGGGCGTCGTTCACATCTTCTCGGCCCTCTGAGAACATTTTGTACCACCGATAAACGTTGGTTTGGTCCAAGGTAGTTCACCATATGCCACAGTCAACATTAGAAACAACTTTTCAAACATTTGAGTAATTGATAACGGAGTCTGCAATATTTTAAACTTTTCATTAAGATCGCCATGTTCTTTAGGCACCTCCCATTCGACAAAACCCAATTTAAAGATTGTGTGTAGACCATTTATTCAAAGACATGCGGCACGGATTCTGTCATTTATATTGTCTCACACTATAACGGCCAAGTAAACTGAAACGTACGTTATAGAGCATACGAAATTGGTTTTAACTTATTACGTTCACCCTTCTTGGCCACATTCCAACTGATGTAACCAATAATTATTATATAGGGCACATTTTGTGTCGCATTTTGTACATTACAACAGTTACTTCATTATTTTTTAGATTGATTCACACAGACGGGGTATGTCGATGACATAAACACAGTCTCTTACAATTAGTAAATTTTACGAGGCTACTTCATTCGTAACACATTCGTATCACCTTTGTAAATTTCGTTTCATCACAACGTCATACTTAATCTCTAAATTACCCCTAATATAACTGACTGCCTGTTCCGTTTTAATTGACAATATAAACGTTGACCTGAAGCAATTATTACCCAAGGGAAGCATTAAAATGACAAATTTTACGTTAGTTAGAAAATGGAAGATTATCATCCACGTATTTGGCAAGCAGTCTCATTACAATGACTTTTGTACCTTTTATAATCCCTTTCTGATTAACAAACTCAAACTCGCTTAATATCTCCATTTAAATAATGACAGTGTTATGGATACTCAACGTTGATGTGCACTTGTAAAATAAGAACTGATTAAAGCTTGATTCTCACTATCAACAGACGACGGCCGGCAGCCGCCCGTCACATATCCGTCAAAATATTATTCATTCTAATAAGCATTGTGTTGACGCGACAGTATTTGACAGTGCCCGTTGATGGTGGTCATTGATTGATGCTAATGAAAGTACATTCAGTTAGTTGGTAACCAGCAGGAGGGTGTTAATAAGATAAATAATTAATTTGATATTTAAACATTCTCAACTTTATTTTTCCCAACTAAAGTTTTATACAGACACGCGCCCGAATAGAAGCTTTTATAAAATAAAAAATAATTATCAAACATTAATGTTAAATCAACTTAATGTCACCCCACTACAGATTATAAACTCACCATATTGTTTAGGTCAAAATCATCGCAAAAATCTTTTTCAATAATCAATATTTTTATGTTCCATCTGAAGTATCTAATTTATATTATTTCTATTTTTACAGTGATGGAGGATTACCAGTAATGCCCCTGTAGACAGGAAATAGGTAAGTCGTTACAATTTTTCTTTATTAGGAAGGATTTAGTAGGTACTAAGGAAAAAATCCCGAATTGCCACTATTTGTAAACTGCATAAAGTATTATAAATTAAATAAATTAGATTAGATTACTATTCGCAAATAGTCAAAGATGTGGGATGTTCTAGTTTAAGGGAAATGCGAAAATTAGCTCAGGATAGGAAGGAATTGAGGTGTTTGTCCAACCAGTCTTAAGACTGACGACCTTGTGATGATGACGAATAACCAACCCCTAGTACTCTCGAGCGTTTACAAACAGCGTAATGAACGCCATCTGTGGTCAATTATTAAATTTGAGTGGAATTTAAAAATATTCGACATGGTCTATAACGATATCGGCTTGTTGAATTGAACTCACTTAACCAAGCAGAACAAAAAGTTCATGGTGGTCATTCAATGGATCTCATCACTACGCCGTAGAAAGTTGCAATGGAATATGGAATACGAGCCAACTCAATTCTACTTGCTGCCTTTAGAGGGCGTTATATCAATGCTCCAATGTTCACGATATCAAACTAATTGTACTAATTGTACTTATCTGGAACAACTTGTAAATTACGATAGCTACTAACCTAGATTAGATACGAAGTAATTACCAACTTGAAATGAATAGTAAAGAAATCAAGTTGTTTCGCCCTCGGGAAATTACAGAGGAAAAATAATTTCATCATCAATGTACAATTCTGTTAAAAAAAAATAAAACTAAAAACATGTGTGTTACAATCAACGTAAAAGCGCCCGTTTTTACAGTCAATTAACTAATCGTCATGCACTACATTGGTAGCTAACTAGAGAATAATTTTGTTTACGTGAATGTTTATTGTCTTTCGGTATTCTACGGGTCGGTGGCAGTGCTTTTTTGTTTTCTAGGTCGTCGAGTTGGCCGTGCTGCAGTGCGCGTTTTCGCACAAACTCTTGAAAGAGAAATGGATTTTTTTGCGAATAACGCACCACCACGATAACTCTAATGAACAACTGGGGAGTTTTTGTTAAATGGAAAATCCAATGGCCTCTATAATAGTAATCTTGTATCTCTTAATATCAATTAGGGAAAGATGGCGTGCTCCTGATTTTGGCGCGGCATCGCGTGTTTCAGAAATTTTGAACGCTAAATGCACATTAAGGGTGGTTTATTTAATAAATGGATGTAATATATGTAGCCATTATAATGCGTATTAGATTATAGCGGTCAATGTCAATTGCTTATTATTATTATTGTTTCAATTTAGGGAGGCATCCATAAATTTTAAAGTTTTGAGAATTTTGCAACTGGTAGAACAAATATTCTAAAACATTAAACTCAACGACATAATAAAGTTTTTTACTATACTGGTTATCGCAAGATACGTCACAGTTTTTGTAATTGAAACTAGGGCCAAGAATTGCATGTAAATTATCTGAATATTCAATAATTATATATATCTGTATCCATAATACAAACAGATATTATAATATTCAAATATACAGTGTAAACACCATATAACGACACTTAAGGGACTGAACATTTTTTTGTCGTTCCAAAGAGTGGTCGTTAAATGGAGAGAAATAAAAGATATTATTTTACTATTCTATAATAATATGCATTTACCAATATAGTACACATTTTGCACACGAACATTATTATTCATACATTGCGTATAGCCTGTTATCTTCGTCTGATGTTTTTTGCTGCTCCAATATTTTAATTGTATTTTGTTACGTATCTTACTCATATCTTGAGATACTGCTGGATCAATTTGATTATATAAAAAGTAATTTTTTAATAGTTTCGCTGCATCAAGTGCTTGTTTGATGCTTGGTGGAGGGACAGGATCGTCTTCTTCAACAACGTACACAGCTGCAGTTCTTATCTATTTCGGCAACTTAGAGAGTACTGCTTAATGATTTATAATGTCGCATTGTTGTCGTTAAATAGAGTGAGCGTGACGCTATATAGAGTGTAATATTGTATAGAAAACAATGTTAAGAGTTTACACTGTATTTAATATGTAATTCATAATATTTTAATCTCATACTTGAAAAACTGGATTCAAATAATACGGCCAATGGGACTGAGTATGTGAATTGCGGAGTTCCTCAGGATCTTGTTCTAGGTCCACTGTTATTTATAATATTTGTAAACGATATATTTTATATAAATACAGAACCACATAGTACGCTGAAAAACTTTTGGGTGTTTCATGCCCACCAGGCTGTAATGTTGGTGGGCGGGCAGTCCCTCCGGACTACTCCGAAAGGAAAGGCGGAAGACCCTCTTCAGCCTCCATTCAGGAATCGTGAGGATGACTGTCTGGTTGGAATTATATCTTTAAACAAGCGTTTTCGCTGTCCTAAATTCCTGAGAATGTTGAACTTTTTTTTAAAGTCCGATGCTGGCAACATGTTCAAAATTTGTTTATCAGTATCTCTTTCTGTTACGCATCAGTTGGTGTAATGTTATTCCTCTTTCTTTATTAGTGTCCGCTGCAATTCCTACCTGACATTTCTTTTCTATGTTTACGATATTTCCTGCAGTCTGCCGTAAGTAAAAGTAGGCAGTTTTACTGCGGACTATGCTAATTTAAAACGTCCAATTTACCCCTTGTCTTCAGTGCTCTACAAAGGTCAGTTTACAGTGGCGGTGGCTAACAAAAAATGTATGACAGATGTCATTATTCTCATAGCGTGATATTGAAAGAGTGTAGTAACGCATACATGATTTCAGCGTCGATTCTATTTGCTTGTGGGTGTCCCTTTTCGTACTTTTCCCTAGTAGATTCTCAAAAAATGAAAGGTTATGTATGTAGCTTAGGTGGTTGCCTATTGTAACATTTGCCCCCACGATTATCCATAACGTCTGTTTTTTATTAAAATCCGCTACTGCTTCTGCTGAGGGTACCATAGAGATGAAAAGGCCGAACATAAGAAATTTCATTCGGTTGACTAACACAGATATTCTTCAATCGTAAAAGAAAGCTAAAAATGTCAGTAATTGTAAATATACGACATCTTTATGGGTTAGTTTATGTTCCAATTCCTTCTGTACCGTTCTCGAAAAGCTGTTACCGTTTATTCTTTTTCGTGTGTGTTAGTTACGGGAACGTAAACTTATACATTTAAGAACTTAGTCTTTTCGTATTTACTGAACCAGGAAAAAGGCCCTTTGTATGCTGACCTAAATATATAACGTTAAATGACCACTCAAAAAATATTTTGTTACCGGCTATTACTTTCCCTTTTTAGTATCACAACTAATATTGTAAATGCGAATGTTACTTTGTATGTTACCATTTCAGGCCTTAACTACTCAACCGATCATCATGAAATTTTGTACACACATTGTCAGGGGTACAGAGAAGGATATAAAGTACCTTTTATCCAGAAAAAAGAATACTTTCCCCGAGAAATAGAACAATTAATTTTACAACTCATTTCAAATGGTTAGAGATGTGACCTTGAAGAAACCTGCACGAATAGAATGAATACACACTAGGAGTGAGCGAAACATAAATATTTTGACTTTGTAACGGCTCATCCAGGTAAATAGAAGCGGCATATCTCTAACTGTTTGAAATGTGTTATATATGAGTATACCTTTACTGCTCATATCATACGAAAATTGTTCGGAGATATTAAGAAAGACAATATTTACTGTCATTCTATGTAAGGTGTATGTTTAACCTAGAAAATTAGAAACTTTAGTCAGTATTTAAGACAGCAACGCTAGTAAAGGTTAGTTAAATTTAAAGGGTGAATGGTGGGTCACATATTTTAGTATTTAACGCTTAACGCCATCTCTACGTTTACCTTAGGATGCTAATGATATTCGAGCTTGATGCCCGTTTCAGTGAAAACAGCGATAGAGTTGTTTACTTGACGTTTCGCCAAAAGTTGTTTTAATGTCATCGTCAGGGAACGAGACGAGAACATATGGTCCTTCGCTCCGGTTGTATAGAGACTTAGTCTCTGAATGTCAATGACTTTATGTCCTTGCTACTACGTTCTCTCATGACATAGATAATTACCTTCGATAATAATTCTCTGTGGATGTCAACCTTAGCTCCTGGCAAAACGTCGTACAAACGACTCCATCCGTGTTGTTACCGGAAAAAAAGGATCAATTCTATGGGCCACTGACATCAATTCTTAGTACCTACCTGCGCTGTTCCAGTTCTAAATTCTATTAATTTACCTTCATGAATATTAATCGTTAAAAGGAGCATATAAAAAGTAGTTCCTAATATTCTTATTCAACCCCTTTCTCCAATATATTTTACCCCACATTCACAGCAATGCTGTTGACATAATTTTACCTTAATCGGCGTAACACAAAAACAATCTCGACCTCTTCCAGTCAAGATTCAAATCAATTTCCTTTGAATATGTAATGAGGCGTTTATTTGTACACACAATGAGATCGATATTGAATCATTTCCAGTATGCTTTCGTTAAATGATTAATATTATATGTATGTAAGTACTTCTAACCAGGGATGTAACGCAGGTAGTTTTATCGGAACCGAAGGTGGAGTCGGAGTTTTCAAATTTGCTTTATCGGAGTCGGAATCAGAGTCGGAGGCAGGGTCAGAAGTGGTGGCATGAGAGAGAATTTTTATTTAATGACAAATAAAACATTATTTAGTCAAATTTTTTTCATTTCAATTTTCAATTATAAAATAAAACACAACAATAGAGTGCTCAGTGCACGTAGTGGGAGTCAGGGGGATTCATACTATGAACCTGTTCATAACAGTTGACACAGGCCGCCGCTATGTTATGCTTCGACCTCCGATTAAAACCTTCGATTTAAAAGTGTCGGAGCCGGAGTCGTAACCGAAGGTGTAATAATAATCGGAAGTTCCGACTTAACGGAACCGGAGTCGAAGCTCCGTAACATCCCTGCTTCTAACAACGTTCGAATAAAGCAAAAGATATAAAGAAAATTGAATATATCTTTAGCGTGTCTGTAATTTTTTACTAATTAACAGAAGAGTTTTATAGCAAACGATTTCATGGCATGTAGGTAGAAGCTGTAAAATTTAGTATTTGAACGAGATGCACGGGATAGTCATTTTACCGGTAGGGTGCCGGATTGTCGGGTGTCCGGCATTAGCTGTGCCGCACACCTATGGGTTAATGGTTCATGTTTTCGTTCTGACGGGCTTTCCATTAAATACCACCCTCGCTAACGCCCGAAACTACATTCAGCCCTGTACGAAAAGTCCTTTAAACAATCAACCAGTGGAGTTTTAATTTTTGAAACCGTTGAAACGAGCATATAATGTTTATAAACACTAAACTATCCAGTATCCGACCGAATCCTAAAAAATGTGCCGGATCCACCGGGTACCGGATTCAAACAGGGAACCTGGTCCCCTCACCTATCATCATTCATTCATCAGTTAATCTCACTCCATGCTGATTCGCCATTTTGGTTATGCTTCTTTAATAAATGCATAAATAGTATCTAAAATTAACTGATGATTTAATGATTTATTTTCTTTTGTAAGACAATACAACGTGCATGTTGAGTTCATAAAAGTTTATTTCAATCAATTACAAAACAATTTAATAACCACCTGCAAACAGGTGCAGGTGAATGGTTTTGTTTTCATTCGTAATCATGACGCGGGTGTAATAAGAATTTATTGGATTGTATAGATATTCGTCGTTCACTGCTATGAACCAATCGTATTTATCGTGTTGTGCAGTAAAAACAGTTGAAATTATTCGCATTTGCTCATCGAAATTATTGTAATAAGCGAACGCCTCCAACATCAAATCCATTACATCGATCTGCCACTCTATCGGCATGCTACTAGATTCCACGTTGATATTTAAGTCGTTCAAAGTCTTGGTCTCCCTTTTTAAGATTGACGTTTTCGTATCAAAATCCAAAAAATTGAGCGGGTGTTTCTGAAAAGACAGTTTACAATAACAAAAAGAGTACAAACCACTAATAAACAGTTGAATTTCAACACCAGGTTAAAAATGGAATATTGGAATAGAAACTATGAAAACCTAACCATTCTCTAACCTAAACAGGTATAGTGACGTTAGGATTAGGTCAAGTTGATATTCAAGAATGATAATATTCAGTAATCAGGGCTAGTAGGATGAATAAAGCTTTTTATTGATTAAAAAACCTCACCGATATTTTATTAGCATCTAACAAAGAGGACCTAGAGTTAGCTTTAAATAAAATGGAAGCGGTACTGACAGATCAGTACTGTATGAAAATACATAAAAGTAAAACTAAAATACTGGTATGCAAGGGAAGAAAAGGTAGGGAAAGAGCGAATATAAAGATAGGAGACGAAAAATTAGAAGAGGTGGCTGATTTTAGATATCTAGGAAGTCAGATATGTCAGGACAGGAGTAGAAGGGATATAAAGCAGAGGATAGCGCAGGGTCGTGTCATCTTTAATAAAAAGAACTCACTTCTATGCTCGCGAACTGTTAATTTAGAAATTCGAAAAAGGTTGTTAAAGGTGTATGTTTGGAGCGCGGCGTTGTACGGGTGCGAAACATGGACAGTGGGAGCGGCGGAAAAGAAAAGGTTAGAAGCGTTCGAAATGTGGTGTTATAGGCGGATGATGAGGATATCGTGGGTAGAAAAGGT